GAACTGCTTTGATTTCCCAGCCTCCTGACAAAACTGCGAAACCTATTTAGTTCAAAGAAGGCTAAATCGCCAGGAGGAATGTCAAAATTGTTTTATTTTATGTCTCATCTCTCAAGAAAAGTGATGTATAGAGCCCTCTCCACTGAATATCTGTTAGTGTTCGGAAGTTCTAGCCCAGCAGGTCTTCCGTGTCTCACTCTGCGGCGTCTTCATTCTGCGGCCCGTGGCACTAGCTAAAAAGATTAGCTTGCGTCTAAAGAGTTTTGCCTGCAGATCGAACAAGATTAGAGAGTAGTGCTGCTGCCTTATCGATTGCCGGGCGTGTGCTACCGTGAATTCAGATGGCTTTCCATTTTGCGCCTGTGTACCTTTTTGCAGGCGTGCGCGTGTTTGTGGTGTGTTGTGTTGGATGTCTTCCCGCGTTGCTCTCGCGTTATATTTAGAGACCATCTCTTAGTGATCCTGGAGCGTGCTGATTCCACTAGAGCAGTGGTTCTCAACCTGTGGGTCCTGACCCCTGGCCCGGGTGGGGGGGGTCAAATGCCTCTTTCACAGGGTTCACATGTCAGATATTTACGTTACAATTCATAACAGTAGCAGAATTGCAGGTAGGAAGTAGCAACAAAATAATTTTATAGTTGGGGGTCACCACAACATGAGGAACTGTATTGAAGTGTCAAAGCATTAGGAAGGTTGGAAACCACTGAGCTGGTTTGTCTGGGCACAATTCTCCGGTCTATGTTTTCCCGGCACTTGAATTACAGGCACATACATGCCGACACACCAGGTTTCCAAACATTAGTGCTAGGGATCAAACCCAGGTCCTCACCTTTGTGTGTCAAGCATTTTAGTCAGTGGATTGTCTCCCCAATCCAGTTTCCCATTGTTTACTGTGATGGACGATAGGCTGCCCTTGATGAGTTAGCCGTTGCTTCTGAGAAGGCTGTGTGCTCTAAGATTGGGGAGAGGGGAAGGGACGTGAGAGGCAGGGTGCCTCTGCGCTGCAGGCAAGCATTTAGCGAAAGGCCACAGCTGGAGAAGGGTAGCCGAGGCAGCCACGATGGAAGGCGTCTGGAGGCAGTGGTAGGGCCCAGAGACGCTGTGAGCCAGCCCGAGAGTAGATGTTCTGGAACAGTTTGAATCAGGGCAATTCCTATGAGTCAGGCAGTGGGCTCCTCCTGGGGTCGACTTTATTGATAGGCTGTGATAGTAATGGGCCAGGCTCATTAAATGGCACTGGACGCATCAGACAGAAAATGCAGTTACGTATCAGGAGGTCAAATTGTTAGCTGCAAGCGCGATTTTCCCCGCATGCTCATCACGGGGCTTTTATTTAGGAAAATGTTGCCCTGTGGACGGCAGTTTGTTTCATTACTTGAGTTATCACAAGTCCTGGCCCTCCTCCAGTTCTGGTAATCCTCTGAGGTTCCACAGAGAAAAAGAGAAATGTAAGAGTCTGCACTTCCCAATGGATACCCACGCCCGACCCAGGCTGCACGCTTCCTGAACTCGGGCCCACGAGAAGGGACGATTGTCCTGAGGGTTGAAAAAAGAGACACACACACAAAAGAGACTTGGCTCATCTACAAGAGTAAATGGCAACTTTATTAAACTCAAGTCAGATATTTATACCAGTGGGCTAGAAAGACAGAAAATGCAAGGCCTCCTCCCATCCAGAAGCAGGAGAAGAAGATTAAAGCTTCCCGGCCCCTCGGGCAGGGTCAGCTAGGGGAGGCAGGCTATCCACCCACTGCTAAGACCTTGAATACAAGTGGAATCACCATAACAAAGAGAACCAGGTTCTAGCTAGGTTATCCCCTCAAGCCAGAGCTAGTGCAGAGTCTCCAGGAAGTCGGAGGTCACACGGCCCTGCGAATAGCCAGGAGAGAAGGGAAGAAACTTTGGTAGCCACAGAGAAATATTTTGTTTTTCCTCTTCTCCCCACAGGGTAATTGGCTTACATATAATTTAATTATTTCATCAACCAGGTAGCCTATCCCTGTGGTGAAGAGCACCCTTAGCCCACCCTCCCTTTGTGGGTTAAGGTCTTTATCTGTTTGCCCATCCTTCCGATGGCGTGCGTGCGTAGCTGAAATAGCTGCCGAAGGGCTCAGCTGGACCACTCTGTTTTCCATATTTGCAGGGATGTCCTTGGAGGCAGCAAAGGGGTAGCTAGTGATTTAGAGAAAGAAGAACTAAGAAAATGATCGGCTCAAAAAAGGAATTACAGCCTTGAGAGTGCTCTAGTGAAGTCATATTTTAGATCACCTTGGAATGACTGTTTTCATTAGTAAGTCGCGGAAGGCTCCTCACAGGGTGGAGGGATGTGAAGGAGGACTTTCCTTATCAGTGTCTGGTCACGTGATGCTGTCACCTCTTAGCTGGCTCTTGTTATTCACAGTCTTGCTTCACCTTTCCCGTCATCTTCTTCGAGGGGAGATGTTTTTATCCTGACAGGTTCCTGTACAGACTTTATTTCTTCAGCGCTGGGGAGAGGCTGGGTCCGTAGAGTGCCTGCTGCACCTACATAAGCAGGATGGACACAGGGCTGCACCTGTAACCCCAGAGCAGGGCAGGCAGAGACAGCTGGGTCCCTCGAGCTTGCTGTTTACCGGTCTGCTGAACAGACCGGGGGAGGTGGGAGCCAGCAAAAATTAAAATTAAGACGGAGAGTGATGGAGGAAGACATCCAACATCATCTTCTGTCCTCCACATGCATACACATATGGACACATGGGAACACAAACATGTTACACACACAAAGGAAATCTAGCCAAGTGGATGAAGATAAATATATTTTTTTAAAAAATGTGTATTTATTTCTGAGGATTCTTGACATCCATGCCTAATGTGTGTTTGGTTGAGGGTCTCACAGCCAAGCCCAGGACCCATCTGGAGCCTTCATATTATAAATATGCTGTTTTGGGGATGTTATACTGAGTCCGTTTACTAAGACTTAATTGGTGCCACATGAATCGGTCTGGCCTAAGACCAGCCAGCACAGTTGCGTATGGCATTTCTGGGACCAGCTGAGGAATCATGCTTTGCTGAGCTGCTTTTCTGCTCATTTTTCCTGGGGTGTGGAGCTGGTTCTGTTGCTTTTCCCGGTCATACCATTGAAAGGCCCACAGTAATTTAGATCATAGACCTCCAAGGCAGGCAGGTTAGTATCCTCTCTTATGACTGAAAGCGTTCAGCTTTCCACATGGGGAGAGTTCGTGAGTGACTGCGGCCACTCCCAAACACCACAGGAAGAAAAGAGAACATCACGCTTTCCCTACCCCCTTTAGGCCTCACTGTCCTTGGCTCATCTGCTTTCAGATCTTTTCCATAGCAGACGGCTTTATGCAAACATGGCCAATTATTTTTGGTCATAGTAAATATCACCTTGCATTATGAGTCAATTCTAGAATTTACTGAAACTGACATGTTTCTTTGAAAACCCACCCACACCAAGAAGATAGATTATCTTGTTTGACTGCTCTGCCAACCCACAAGGCTGCGGTTCTCTGCCTCAGTGACCCTCAATGGATGCCCTTCTGTAAGATCTTATAGATCTCCCTGACTGAATAACACTGATTTTCAATGTCAGTTCTTGGGCCATTTTTATTAGTAAAGAGATGTATACCATGTTATTTCTGAAATGTCATCGCTATTTTAGGTAAATGGGCTAAATGTTACTACCACTCAATACATTTATTGTTTTTTTCTTTCCTAGAATTTTTATTTTAATTATGCATATGTGAGGAGGGAGTGATATGTGCGTGTGAGTTCAGGTCCTTTGGAAGCCAGAAGAGGGCGTCATATCCCCTGGAGCAGGGCTGGGGGTGGAGGACAGGAGGTAATAGAGTGTGAGCTGCTCCACGTGGGTGCTGGGAACTGAACTGAGGTCCTTTGCCAAGTGCAGATCTCCATCTTAACTTCTGAGCTTCCTTTCTAGAATCTCTCCAGCTCGTTCTGAATGATAATCATAATAAAATTATTAATTTCTCTAATCTCTTCGGAACTTTTCTTGAGGGAAGTTTTAACAATCCAGTATGTTTCCACTTTTCTTTCTTCCCCCAATGACTGTTAGGTGTGTTCATCCTGAGCCTGAAAGCCACATGCATTTGAGATAGCTTTGAATGAGTGCTTAAAGCTTTATGAGATGTGTGTGTGTGTGTGTGTGTGTGTGTGTGTGTGTGTATGTGTTGTGATTCTGTAGTAAGCTTCTCCAGAGTGAGCATCAGAAGGTTGGACACAGCAGGCGTGCTGACAGGTCACTTTGTGGAAGGGCTCTCATGAGATCGCTGCATAGCTATCTAACCCACCCCCGGTTAGCTGGAGTTTGAGACAGGGTCTTGTGTAGCTCAAGCTGGCCTAGAACTCATTGTAGAGCCAAGGAAGACCTAGAATGTCTGATCCTCCTGCCTCCACATCTTGGGTACTGGCAGGACAGGCGTGAGCCACCAGTCCTAGGTTATTTATTGAGACAGTGTCAAGCAAACACCCAGAAAACAAGCCTTGACTAGTTAGCATTAAACCATGGCTTGCGTTCCTGATCCTCAAATCAGAGATTTAATTTTTTGGCCTGAAAGTCATCTGTTTCCCTTTAGACGTGCCTGAACAGATCAAAAATCACCCCTGCCCATTTGCTGAATGGTATCCCAGCGACTCCTTCACACTGCTGTTCTCCTGCAGAAGTGTTTAGAGAACACTCATCCTCTCTTCTGGACGTGTGGGGATTAGCTGAAGGACTCACTCCCTGTAATTAGGGACAGGTGTAAGATGTAAGATGTGGTCAAGCACTTCTTATGACCTTGGTGGAAGGATGCTGCACCACTGAGGGGCACCTGCATCTGGGCAGCTCACTAATGTCACAGGAGTTGGTTGATATCTGGTTAATTAGATTGGCACCCCCCCCACCATGTTTGTTGTGAGCTGGGCAGAGTTCTTAGCACTTTGTGTGTGAGTGGAAAGATGAACCAGTGTATTCAGCATTTCTGATTTATCTCTTTCAGGTTGAAAATTGGTGTCCCCGTTTACCTTGGAGAGCGAAAAATCCCTATGAAGAAGCCGATCATAACTCATTGGTAAATGGCTGTGGAGCACTCTTCCTCCCCTTGGGTGTTCGGGTCATAAGCTATGTGATGCACGCAGCATCCTTTGGAAGTGCCAGCTGAGATCCCAAGTCTAGCTGGCCCAATCATAGACCAGTTAGCGTGGATTTATTTATTGAACAGTCCTCCGAAGGTCCCTAAATGATGGGCCGCAGAGAGGGATGAGCTCCTGTGCCAGATGTGGAGGGCTTGGGTGATCTAATGAGGGGACTGGCTGTAAATAATGACCAGGCTTGTCGCCAGGCTCAGATGCCTGCAGAGGAAGATTAATGAGGAAAGACGGTCTCAAGTGCGGAGTTCAGGAGATTCCAAAGAGAAATTGATGAGCTGCATTTGGAAGGACAAACAGTGCTCTGTGAGGTGTAGGGAGAAAGGCGTGTCTCTACGGGAAGTCCATCTTTGGTATCATACTACAAGGCAGGGCGGGCAAGGTCAGAAGTTTGGGTAAGCTGGGTTGAAGATGCAATTAGAAAGAGGAAGGGACTCCAGAGACCTTTCGATGCTATCTCGAAAGCGTGGGCGTTTTCTTTAGACATAGATCAACAAGTCCTTTGAAAAATCTTTATTATCTTTCATCGTTTTTCTTTGTGTGTCTGTTTTATTTGTATGCCTGCGTAAGATTTTGTGCACTGTGTACATGCAGGAGCCCATAGAGGCAAGAGGAGGGCATCAAACCCCTGGGACTAGAGTTACAGATGGCAGTGAGCTGCTTGGCCTGGGTGCTGGGAACTGTACCCCACTGTTCTGCAAGAGCAGTCAGCGCCCTTAACCACTGAGTCTTCTCTCTAGCCCAAAGCAGACACTTTCCGTAAAAGGTCAAGTAGGGGCTTAGGATGTGTCTCGACTGGTAGAATGCTCACCTAGCGTGCAAGAAGCCCTGGGTTCAGTCTGCAACATGGTAAAGTAGACTTGGTGGTGCATGCCTGTCATCCTAGCACCTGGGAGGTAGGGGCGGGAGAATTAGAAATCATGATTATCCTTGGCTACATAGAGAGTTCAAGGCCAACTTAGGCTACCTGACACCCCATCATGTACTAAAGTAATAGAGCTGGTGAGACGTCTCAGTAGGCAAAGGCACCGACTGCCAAGTCTGAAGACTTGAATTTCATTCCCTAGGACCCACATGATACGGAGAGAAAACTAATTTCTGCAAGCTGTCTTCTGACTTAAACACACACTTGAGCATGGGTGTGCACACGTGTGCTCACAGGTTCACACATGCACACACATTCTCAATAAATAAAAATGTAGTAAACAAGAAAAACGTAAAATGCCAGATAGTGGTTTTGTCTTTGCTGGAGCTTTAATCTCACGCCTGCTCAATTCTGTACTGCTAACACAGAGAGCAGCCATGGATAATTAATATGTAATGAAGGGGTGGCAGTGTTCCACTAAAACATCATGTACACACACACACACACACACACACACACACACACACACACAGGCAGCTAGGAGGACCGCTCTATGGCCAGGGTTTGTGAACTCAGGTGTAGGCCATGGGAGACTGTGGGTCAAGGAGGGAGACGAACACTAGGAATGAGCCGTGGAGACAGCAAGAGATGGATTTGGTATGCTTGACGGATACCACGTTTCTCTCCTCTTCTAACCAGAGGCAGCATCCAGCTACAGTATCCATAAGAGCAGGAAAAATACTCTTCCTGGACCTTAAATTATTCTGCTCTGAATCTTAAACTGTACTCAGCCATGGTAGAAACAAACCCTATCCCTAGCTTTAAAAATTCCTTAGAAAAATTCAATTTTGTTGGTTTGACCCAGGACAAAACTAGAAAATGATCATTTTTTTCCCATCTTACCCTGGGAGGAGAGGCTCTCTGGGAACCCGCACAGTGTTGGCTGGCCTGTTGGAGCTGATAGTTTTTCCTGGTGGTCAGCTGCCTAGAAGGAGCCTCCAGGACACAGATAAGATTTGGCACAGGGGATTTGAAGGTACATGAGGTAGATCCATTGTGAAAACTACATTTCAGCGTAGCGCAGGCTTCACGGTGACCGAGCGTACTTTCTCAACCTCCGATGTTTTCAGTGATGTCCCTTGTAACAAATCTGCAGTCGGGGCACTGGGAGGGGGGAGCTTTGTTTCAATTTTCAGCCCTCCTTAAAGTTTTTGAATGACGTTTATTTTATTTGTGCATCCATGCGTATGGGCGTGTGTGAGCCACAGCGAGCATTGGAGGCCAGAGGACAACCTGCAGAATCAGTTCTCTGTCTCTTCCACAAGAGGGTCCTGGGGATTGAACTCAGATTGCCAGGCTGTTTGGCAAGAGCCTTTTCCTGCTGAGCCATCTCGTTGGCCCCCACCCTCGGGATTCTCAAGCAAGGGCCATGCAGAGAGTCAAAGTTGATTCCTGAAATTCTGGATTTAATTGACTCTCAGGTTTAAAATGCCCTGTCATGAAAATCACTTTCCATCCTAGCATTTTAATCTTCTGCTCGTTTTATTCCATTTCTTTCTCTTTTCCCTAGGCGGAAATCCGTACGGATTTTAACATTCTCTATAGCATGATGAAGAAGCACGAGGAGTTCCGGTGGATGAGACTCCGGATCCGGAGAATGGCTGACGCGTGGATCCAAGCTATCAAGTCTCTGGCAGAGAAACAAAACCTTGAAAAGAGGAAACGGAAGAAAGTGCGTTTCTGAATTCGGTTCCTTTATATGGCAGCTTCCTCTTAAAATTTGACTTTGCTTGGAAACAAGATGAAGAGCGATGTCAGGTGTCGAGTGACATTCCATCAGAGGAGATCAGCTCAGCGTCTCCTCACCCCAGTCTGAGGGCTTCTTTTCTCACGCTCGATGTCTTCCTCTGTGTTCTGGGAATGTGGGCACAGATATACACATCTTCACACACACACTCACACATACACAAAACAAGATAGTTGGTGACTGAGAGGTGGTGGCCACAGACAGAAAGTAGGGGTGAGCCATGGTTTCCATACCTGTTACATCCACTTCTTCACACACACACACATGTACACATACACATGCACACGCAACAAGGTAGGTGGTGACTGAGAGGTGGTAGCCACGGACAGAAAGTAGGGGTGGGCAATAGTTTCTATACCTGTTACATCCACTTCTTTGCACGCGCGCGCGCACACACACACACACACACACACACACACACACACACACACAGCAAGGTAGGTGGTGACTGAGAGGTGGTAGCCACGGACAGAAAGTAGGGGTGAGCCATGCTTTCCATACCTGCACATCCTCTCCTTTCCTTCTTTCCCTCTCTTCCTTTTTTTCACCATTTAATTATTTTTCTTCCTATAGAAAAATGTTTCTAGCAGAGCATAACATGTGTAAACATTTTAATGCACATGGTTCAAAAGCATAAGGAGTACATTGGTATGTAGCCATATTCATCACACACTCCCACAGGCATACCCCACACCTGCACACACAACACAGAAAAGATCTTATCCACTACGGCTTAAACATAAGTTTTTGAACTCTTCCAATTTCAGAGATGAGATACCCAGGGGAGAACCCTGCGTTTGATCCGTGCACATTAAAATGGTGGCCACTATGTTATGCTATACATATTTTTCCACAGTAAGAAAATAATTGAGTGGTCAGAGAAGGGAGGGGGATAGGATGGAGTGGATGTAGTCAGCGTGGAAACCAAATTTCTCTCAGCACTTCATGCTTGGTGACTTAACACTGCAACCATTTACATAGTAAGCAAAAAAAAAAGTTTAAAAGCGCCATACCCCTCCCTCTTTTTTCTATTTGTTTGCTCTTCTGAATTATTTTTTGTATTACTATATGTTTTCAATGCACATTTATATTTTAATGAGAGAGAGAAAGAAAAGGCGTGGACTTGGATGGGAAGGGAAGTAGAGAGGATCTGAGGTAGGGAAGGGGAACCATAATCAATATATTGTTTGGGGGGAGATCTATTTTAAATTTTAAAAACAGGAAATAAACCTCATACCTGAACATCCTAAGAAAAATGAAACAACTGGATTGGCTGCGTATTTCCAGTTTTGGGGCAAGCACACGGTGGAGGGCTGGTCTCTCTTTCTGTAGAGCATGGTAAAGTGAGTCCAGCGAGCTTCGAGGACAGTTTAACACTTGTAATGTCATGTGCCGAAGTACTGATAATCTCATTCTAGAGCCACTGTGAACATTACAGTGTAGAAAATGACCTACTGGGTGCCTGCCTTCGTGGGGTGGAATTTTCAGTGCAGGAGAAAGGAACTACCTGGCGAAAGATGGGTGATCGTATCCGGAGGTATCATCTCTAGCCTTGGGTCTGGAGTGGCACTACCAGGAAGAACCCGTAGTTTATTTTATCTTCGAGGGAAAGTGAAGTTCCTAGCTAAAGCCAGTGGAGAAGGCTCCAAATAGCAATTAAGTAGAGTCCCTGGAGAACTAACCTTTGATCTCTAAATGCTGTTTCCACTAGGTAGGATCAATGGTTCTTGGGAAAATGGCTCATTAAGGTCTGAGACAGAAATTGCACTTGATGAGCTTAGAACATCTTCTCATACCCCAGAATAGAAAAGCTACCAGAAGCTCCTACGATTCTGGCCAGAGAATGGAGATACCAGGTGCAGCAGGCTCCCTTGGCCAGACTGGGCTGGATGGGTAGAGACCAAAGTTCACTGAAACACATTAAATATGCTTATTTCCATGATTATATTTAAAAACCAAACAAGCCTCATGAATCATAATTAGAGTGTGTTTAAGCAACAGGCTGGGAGAGCCCAGTTGATAAGGAGCTTGCCACACAGGCATATAACCTGAGTACACTGCCCAGATCCCACATAAAAAGCCAGGTGTAGTGGGACATGCTTGTAATCCTGACACAGGAGAGACCAACACAGGAAGTCCCGGTACTGCCTAGTCTATTCCATCTCCTCTGCGCTGGCTTTCCAAGCGTGCACCACCATGCCCACCTTTTGTATCTGGGCTCTAGGGATTCGAACTCAGGTCCTCATGTTTGTTCATGAGATTCTTTGCTGGCTGACCCAGCCATATGTTCTATTTTTAAAAATCAGGGTAATCTGTAGCTCACAGTTATGGCACGACCAAGGGCAGTTCATGGTTTTAGCATTTGTCTGAAACAGGGAAAAATTATTTCCTTGCTTATTTTATACCTTGTAGAAAAATGGCATGCCCCTTGCTCAGACTTCAGTGGTTCCTTTAACTGGCTGACTGCTTTATGGTGCGCATGGATTTTGAACGTGGCTCCAGAACTCAGTATGCCTTTCCTCTTTTATTTTCCAGATCCTTGTTCACCTGGGGCTTCTGACCAAGGAATCTGGCTTCAAGATTGCAGAGACAGCATTCAGCGGTGGCCCTCTTGGTGAACTAGTTCAGTGGAGTGACTTAATTACATCTCTGTACCTACTGGGCCATGACATCCGGATCTCAGCTTCTCTGGCTGAGCTCAAGGAGTAAGGAAATCACTTTTTCAATTTGAAAATCAGAATACAAAAACGAAACAGTAAACTCGTAAGCTCCTCTGTTAGGGTGCGATGTCTCGTGGGGGAAAATGAGAGTGATAATTCGCTAAACAGGCGATAAGAAGATTATTTTCAGGAGCTTAATATATACACTATGAAAAGGTTAATATGTTTTCATTGGCTGCCGGCTCCGGGGCTTCGTAAATGAACGCCACGAACACTCAAATGAAGGCGTTTATTCTTTGCTATTCCAGGTGTTTCCAACATCTGCAGCGCAAGACTCTACTGACTTGCCTAATTCCCTGCCTCTTGCCAACATCCATGCTACTCTCTGCTCAAAACAGGGCCAGTTCCTGTTTATAATTTAATATGAGTAAAATGGATTTCCCGAAAGCCCAAATTCAATCCTTTCTCAGTTAGCTAACTTCCAGCTCCATCTGCTCTTCCCTGAGTCTTCTGTTCCACTGAGGTTTGCATTCAGCTCTCACTCGCCTCTCAGCCCCTTTTCCGTTGATACAGCTGGCCGAACGAAAAAACTGGGGTCCCCACAGCCCCCAGAAAACTGCCAGCAGAGACTTCTGACCCAGCATGCAAGTTGTCATGTTCATGTGCCACCCTTGGGAGGCCACCGTAGAGATGGCAGAGAACAGTGTACGTTCTACCCTGTATTATTGACACACCAAGGTTTCCGGCAGTATATTGAGTTGGAAGCAATCCTGTCTGAAGATAATCTTAACAGTCCCCTCATTGCTTTCCAGATGCCAGGCTCCGTGATAAAGGTTTGCGTACAGCAGAAAGACCAGGGATTATGATAGCAATAGTGTTGGTTGGTGCTATTTTTATGTTGAGATTAGGTCTGTGTGGCCTAGGCTGGCCTCAAACTCAATATATATAATTAAAGATGACCTTGAACTTCTGATCACTGCCTTCACCTCCCCCAGGGCTGTGCACCTCTATGTCCAGTTTATATGGCAGTGGGCGTGGAACCCCAAGGCTTTATGCATGCCAGGCAGGTTCTGTACCAGCTCAGCCCCACCCCAGCACTGATGGTAGCTGTTAGATTTATAGTGAGCCACTTACTGTGTGTTCATACCAAGCACCTCATGGTTTCAAGTTTAGTTTTGTTTATGACTCTGCGTGTGAGCATGTGGGCACTTGTACCTCCGTCCATGTATGTGGAGGTCAGAAGACAGTATTCAGAAAGTCAGTTCTCTCCTTCCACTGTGGGTTCCCGTGACAGAAAGAAGCAGGAGCTTTTGCCCAGGAAGCATCTTGGCAGCCATATATTGTATTATATAGAAGCAAGAGCTTTTAACCCAAAGAAGCATCTTGGCAGCCATATATTGTATTGTATAGAAGCAGGAGCTTTCATGAGGAAGCATCTCAGCTTTCCATATATTGTATTGTATTTAAACTTCAGCACCTGGAAGTAGATGCTTTGCCATTTGTGTTTTAGAACTGAGGAACCTGAGGCTCAGACTGAACATGAACCGCCTGAGGTTTCAGGGGTAGCATGTAGGTGCCTGGCTCTGACCCTGGAACGGACTTCTGCAGCCTTTTTGCAACAGCCCTCCCTCTCTCCTTCATCGTTGGATGAACTTGAGGCCCTTTGTACCTCAAGTGGTTCTCCTCTTTCTTTACCACGCTGCCTCCTGTTGCCTTCCTGCTTGCAGCCACTCTGCCTTCTGAGGGCTGGGATTCAAAATGGGGTCCGAAAGGTGACCGGCATGTTGTTCCTCAGCTGTCAATCTTTGGACAATCACAACTGGTGCATTAAGTAATAATCATACTAATTATAATTCTATTAATGCTAATAGAGATGTGGATGCTAGGCTGTAAGTGCAGGGTGTGCTGAAAACGGAATCCCACCACTGTGTTCCTGGCTCTCACACATGGTGCCCGGTGTACTCTGGCTACTAAAGGGATGAGAGAGGGAACGTGGACATGAGTGGCTAGTAGGCGGATGAGCAAATGGAGGACTGAGTAATCAATCAGGCATGAGAATGGAGCTTAGGAAAGATGTTAGGTCAGTGTGACTATGGCAGAGACTCACTTAATGGTGAAGGACAAGTCAATATCGATCTTTGTGAATATTGGGATGAGGGCCATATGTACAATTTTTCTGGACAGGGGCCATTGAGACAAGTAACCCAGACTCCTCTCAAACTTGCCATCGAGGATGATCTTGAACTTCTGATCCTCCTGCCTCTGCCTCCTGGACAGTATGACAGGCATGCGCCACCACACCCAGTTTATATGGTGCTGGGAATGGGACGAAGGGCTGAATGAGTCCTAGGCAAGCGCTTTGCCCGCTGAACAACATCCACAGCCCCTAGATGTGCTTTATTGAAAATGAGCATTACAGAAGCAACACAGAGAAATGATCCCCAGGTCTTTGCCGCTCATTAGGATTGCTCGGGGAATTTTATTTTTTTTTAATTTCACTTTCCAAGAGATTCGGGAATCTCCTTAAAATCCTGGAACAGGACATTCCCAGGGTGATTAAGTCACAAGATTTGAAAATATCATGGTCTAAGTATCCTGTGTTGCACTGTGGGTAGTTCTACTGTTCAGACGAGGTTGAGAACCAGTGTCCAAAGTGGCCCCCAGGTATAAGCCAGCAGCAGCAGCCCGAAGCCAGCCTTTGGCCTGGTTTTGCCAATATTGTCTGGTTGCAGAGTCACACCCACTATTACTTAACATGGCTGCTTCCACCCCACAGTGGCCGAGTTGAGTCTGAAAAGTGTTTATTATCCAACCTTTCATAGAAAGTTGTCCGGTTCTTCAGAAGTCGTCAGTTCAGTAGAGCTTGACTTTTTTTTCCCCCTTTGGAAGCCCAGAAGGGGCAGAAGGGGCCTGAAGCAGTGAGCGTAAGGAACTGTGAAGCAGCTTGTGTTTCCTGTCATTCAAAAGTGGGACTTTTGTAAATGCTCAAGTGTGACTGTGGACTGTGAGCAGGGAAAAGGGTCAAAGGTGGTGGCTGGTGTCTGGGTACATGGTGCCTACACTTTGGACTTATTCTTCCTGGGACTTGTGAGTCTCATTTACTTTCTGGACCTTGTAAGTTGTGTTTCCTGAGTCTTAAAGAGTCCCTTTCTAAGAGAGACTGTTTGAATTTGGGGGAAGTATCTGCACATCACTATTCAATCCCCTCTCCTCACCCTGGAGAATGATAGGAGGAGAGATTCAAAGAGATGAATCAGGTTAGCTATCTCATGGTAACGCTCAGGTGTGTGACCTCACATGTTGTGTTTGTATACCAGCATCTAACTTCCCTCAGTCAGAATGAGGACTCCGGAGAGTTGAGACAGGCGTGGAGCATCAACTCATTACCTTTGATCGGGACTTGAGGTGTGATCCTATCACATTTGCCTGGGTTAGTATTGTCAAGTGTCTGAGGTCCTTTCTTTTTGTCCCCACTTGTCCCACTCCAGGATCATGAAGAAGGTTGTTGGAAACCGGTCTGGCTGTCCCACTGTAGGAGACAGGATCGTCGAGCTTATTTATATCGATATTGTGGGACTTGCTCAATTTAAGAAAACTCTAGGACCATCCTGGGTTCATTACCAGTAAGTACCACATGCTAAGACCATTTTCCCCTAACAAGAATTGTGTCTCTTTTTGTTTGTTTGTTTGCTTGCTTGCTTGTTTTTAAAGGGAGATTAAATATTATCTTTTGAACTGTCTGGAGTATACTTTTCATTCCTAATGAAATTCAGGTTGTTTCCACTGACGGCTTCCTGAGATTGTTCATTGTTTCTATTGATGTTCCAAGACTAGAAAACAGGTGCCCAGTCAGGCATAGTGGCCTTTAATTCCAGCACTCAGGATGCAGAGGCAGGCAGATATCTGTGAGTTCAAAGCCAACCTGGCCTACATAGTGAGTTCTGGGATAGCCAAAGCTACAGAGTAAAACCTTGACTTAAAAAATAAGAAGAAAAAAGAAACAAAGCAAAATAAAACATATCTAGCAGCTTCCCATTTATCTTCTTCAACACCTAGCATTCCTCTCTTTGTATATCTAAGAGAATCTCATGCATTTACTCAAATAGTGACTTTTCTTGTTAATATGTTTGTGTATTGTGTACATGCATTCATGTTTGTGTGAATATGTGTATGTGCATGCCACAGCATGTATGTGGCTACATCCCAGCACCCTTTCCATGTGTTCCTTAATTGTTACTAATGGGTAGAAACATTTTTAATATGGTCTTCTGTGTTAACTTTTTCACTTTGACCAAATACCTGAGCAAGGATACCTTGTAGGAAGAAAGGTTTTATTTTGGCTCATGGTTTCAAAGGCATCAGTCTGTCGTGGTATGGACAGTGTGACAGAGCAGTTCACATCATAGCAGTCAGGAAGCAGAGAGAGAGAATGCCTTGCCTGCACGGTTTCTCTTCTGTATTCCACCAGGAGCCCCAGCCCACAAGATGGTGCCTCCCACATTCAGGGTAGACCTTTCCCTTAGTTAATCATCTTTGGAGATACACTCACAGATACACTAGAGGTTTGCTTGTCTAGTCTCCATGGCATTTCTTAAACTTCAATCAAGTTGTCAATCAAGAATGAACCATCACATACTCTAACTTATCCAATTCATAAATATCCCAACATAGGCCTTTATCTTCTTGTTAGTTACATTCAGTATTTTTAACTTTAAACTCCCAAGATTATTTCAGACTGGAAGTCCTTTATGAATTAGATAAAAATGAGAAGTAAAAATGCAAAGAATTTTCTAAAAAATTCAAGGCGTAGTAATATCCATTATTTATAATATTTTCTTTCAGTCATTACCTCCAACAGCAATGATTTTCTCTTTGGGTGATGAAATATTTATAGCAAAGAGGCTGATGGTGGAGACACTGTATTAAGAGCCCAAGTGTTCTATGTTGACTATGTTACTGTGTTGAATGGCTGTGTAACTGTGTTGACTACATTGGCTGACTTCAATGACTGTTGACTATGTTATCTATGTTAAATAACTGTTGACTATGGTGGCTGACTGTGCTGGCTGTTCTTGGATGACTTCTGCTTGCTGTGTAGACTGTGTAGACTATGCCGACTTTGTTGACTGTGCTGGCGGCTGGTTATGTTGAATGATCGTTGAATGACTGTTGACTGTTGCTGGCTGGCTGACTCTGCTGACTGTTCCTTGTGTTGATTATTTGGAATGACTGCTATGTTGATGATGTTGACTGTGCTGACTATGTTGATCGACTGTGATGATTGTATTGACTGTGTTGAGAATGTTGTTCTTACAGTCTGCATTATTTTAATTTCTTTGGGAAAGTACCATTCTTTTTACTTTTAAGAAAGTTTGGACCAGGATAATGCTTTGTCCTTTCGTTAGTTTTTTTCTTTTGATCATATGTATATGCATGTACATGTACATGTATAGATGTGTATAGGTGTGCATGCATATGGAGGGCAGAGAACAACCTTTGATGTCATTCTTCAAAAACACTGTTGTAGGCGGAAGCTGCTTTTTTATTCCTGGCTGCCCACACCCAAATAATCACACTGAAACTATATTAATTACAACACTTCTTGGCCAATGACTCTAGCATATTCCTAGCTAGCTCTTATGTCTTAAATTAACCCATTTCCTAGTCTGTGTATCACCATGAAGCTGTGGCTTATCAGTGATGGCATGTTACTCCTTTGGTGGTTACATGGTAATGCCCTGACTCTGCCTACTACTCTCTCTCTCTCTCTCTCTCTCTCTCCCCCCCTGTATGTATGTGTGTGTGTACACACATGTACACACACACACACACACCCCTCTTCCAGCCTGGCTGTATTCTGCCCCGCCATAGGCCAAAGCAGCTTTATTATTATTTATTAACCAATAAAAGCAACACATATACAGAAGGACATCCCACATCACACTCTCCACCTGTTTTTGAGATAGTCTTTCAATGCCCTGGAGCAGGCTTCTTGTCTAGGCTGACTGGCCAGTGAGCCCGAGAGATCCACTTGCCTTCATTTACCCAGCACTGGGTTTTAAAGTGTGAAGCAGGCACTGCACAGTCTGTACCACCCATCTCGTTGGCTCCAGCATTCCACCCTGTCTTTGATACCATATTTTGTCTATTATTGGTTTGGTTTTTTTTCTTTTTTTTTTCAGTTGTATAGAAATAACAAATTTTTCTTCTTGGTTAATAAACCATATTATAAACACGGTTTTTTTTTAGTGCTAGTGTTAAGGGAAGAAAGTCAGGGTTGTTTCTTTCTGTCATTTTTATGAATGGTAGATATCTGGAAAACATGCAGAGAAAACTGGGTTATCCAGACCTCCGTAGACTCTCATATCCTTGTTATTAAGAAGTGCTCTTTAGATGGAAAAATATTCTCAGTGGTGGTGTTTGGATCAATTAAGAAAGGCCATGTCGTTATTAAAATGGTCACTGTTGATTGATATTTGATGCTCACTGTGTGAAAATGCTCCATCTCTGGGGTTTATGGGTGTGCATAGTGTTTTCCTTCTTTAGTAAAGGTCTGAATTAGCAGGAAGCAGCAGGGGTCTCTTGGAGCTTTAGCCCTTGGTCTTTGTTTTGTGACAAAGCTACAGTTTCATCACATGACTTTTTAGAATTTTCTTGCCTATTTCTTTCCCTTTAAATATGAAAAGTTATGTCTAGGGTTAGAGTTCCATTTGTATGCCACTTGCCTGTTGAAAATGAAGCCTTGAGTTTAATCCCCAGGATCCTAAAAACCAGGTATGGCAGTGCCTCTCTGTAATCCCAGCACTCAGGAGATAGAGATAGAAGGATTAGAAGCTTGGTTTTCCTTGAGCACTTAGATGTTTGGGGACAGCGTAGATGACATGAAACCATATCCCAAAAATCAAAAGGATAGCGGGATACCAATGTGATGGCTCAGCTGGCAAAGCACTGGCCCTGCAACATGAGGACCCGAGTTTGGATCCTTGCATCTACAGAGAAGGCCTGTATAGTGGTGCACATTTGCAGTCCCACCATGGGGAAGTGGAGACAGGAGGCTCCGGGAGCTCTTGGCTAAATACTACAGCCAACTCAGTGAGTTCTAAACTCAGTGAGAGACCCAGTCTCAGAAAATAAGATGGAGAGCTACCAAGGAACCTCTGGTCTATGTACATACAGACACATTATATACAGGTATACACACAACCCATACACATCTGTGTACAGCTACACAGGTACTCATCTGTAGGAACATGCACACGCATGTGCAATACACACATGCACACAAAAGAAGCTGTCAAACTGTGGTCATCTTACTTGATGGCAGGTAAGGGGAACTACATTCCATAGTGTGGTGTCATCAGACCTTCCAGTGAACAACAAACCCGTTAGGTCTGTTGACCTTGGAAGAATACGTATAAATTCTTTCTTTGCAGAAGAGCCTAGGAAATTCGATTAAACACTTGCTTCTGATATGCTGATATCCTGATACTGGTATTCTAGCATGTTCTACAGAACTTACAATGCTTCTGCTCCATAGGAATCCTTTGCTGAGTGTTGAAGACATGCAAGAATGTGAGATATAAATGGTTCATAGCATTCCAGCTTTTACACCAGACTCCCAGCTCTGTAGTGTAGCCTCGGGCAACAACAGTGTTCTAATGTCATTTGACATTCTGTGAGGTCTCTGGTAGAGGAAGGCCAGCTGCCTTGGGCACTGGGGCAAATACATGTTTAAATTGTTAGAAGGGTCCTGATGTTTCAGATACACAGAAGGTATCCAAGCAGTGGCATAAATATTGACAGCACAGGAATAAGGTAGTTCCAAGATGGAGCCCAGGAGGACCTTGAACAAGAAGCCCTCCTGCCTCTGCCCGCCAAGTATGTGGCTTCTGAGGAATGACACTAGAGTTTGACTTCTGGCCTCCCCATCCCTACATGTACATATACACACACACTTGTAAACATGCACACACATGCATACATGCACACACTTGAACATGCACATCCCTGAAAGAGAGAGACCTGTCAGTGTACTGGGAGTAGCTGCAAGAAAGCCACCTAAGAGTCCAGGTGAGGACATTGTCCCAGATCAGCTCACAGTGCGCTCTTTGGCCGCGGCCTTCCTCCATTTTGTCTTTGTCTCGTCTAGAAACCTCAGTTGACAGTTGTATTTCCTGGAGAATGTGATCTGGTATTTGGATTTCAATGGTTTTATTTTGTTTTCAGAATCTTACATCAGTGTGAAAGTTTAGGAATATTTAGAATAGCTTCCTGGTAATAAGAAAAGGAAGAAAGGGTCCTTAAAAGTGTTGCCACCATCTGTCCTAAGTGTGGGCTTTAATTTTCATTCAGTTTGGTGTGTGTTGGCCTAATGAATTGCTCAGAAGTGTCCTGATAGAGGACAAGAGCAAACAGAACCATCCCATTGACCAGCGCCCCGAGCTGCATTTACATGGTTTGAAAATCATCAGTTAAATCAGTGCAGCCCGGATCAATAATGCCGGTTCTCTAATTCCTTTCTCCCAGTTATCCTCTATGCTTCCTTTGTCTAAAAGGCCAGCTTGTGAATAGTTTGCAACCATGTATAGTTTCCGCTGCAGCTTCTCCACTGTGTCATCATGGCTTGAAGACGGTCACCAAGTTGCAGACAGAGGGTATCAATACTAGTGTGGCCAGGTTCCAATAAAACTTGATTTTCCATTGTAGGAATGTAAACTTCAAGAAATTTTCCTCTGTTGTGTTTTTTTTTTTTTACATTGAGACCGTGAAGCTATATGGGGAAAGAGCTCGGTCAGTCAAGTGTTCTGTTGTGTTATGTTATAGGACCTGGGTTCTGCCCCAGAGCCCACGTGACAAAACTGGGTATGGCAGTACCCACTTGTAATACCATTGCTGGGAGATTAGACACAGGGAGATCCCTAGGGCTCCCTACTGGACAGCTTAGCCTGTGTGGCAAATTCCAGGTCAACAAGAGATCTTATCTCAAAAGAAGCCAAGGTAGATGGTGACTGGGTAATGGCAGTCCAAAGCTGACCTCTGACCTGCACACACACACATTTGTTCTCTCCTGTGCACTTGTGCTCATATACAAACACAAACCCAGGTACACAAAAGACTCTAAAAACCAATTCTTAGCTCACAGCTTCATTAAGGCAGTTGGTGGAGCAGGTTTGCTCAGTGGAGCAGACCAACGGGACTCCATTGTACTGCATCAGCTCTTTGTTGGTCTAGCAATCAAGTCCTATTATATTATAGTTGGATACGTAAAAGCTACCGCTGCCTCGTAAATGAGAGTGAAGTCTGTTTTGTGTTACCACAACATAATACTGGAGCCAGACTTGTTTATTGTGAAACGGAATTTATTTCTCATTGTTGGAAGCTAAAATGTCCAAGATGGAATGGCCCCCATCCAATCCAGTGAGGACCGTATCCTACTGCCCAAAGCTCTGTCTTGGGTCTCTGGTCATCTTCTTTCAAAGCCACTATTGGCGTCATGGGCCTACATCTATCCCTAGTTAACCCCAGAACCCTGCCTTCAAATATCGTCAGCTTACTGATGTAAAGAGTACCTTTCCAGTATGAAGCAGATACCTGTAGCTGTGTCTGGTATGAATCAGATACCTGTAGCTGTATCATTAGCATCACCTAAAGCCAACCGATTTAGCTAATTGATGTAAAGTCTGACAGAGGCTGGGAGCCCTGAAGCCTGCCCTATGTTCTGAGCAGAACAAGGACTGTAGAGATAATGGTGCTTGCTTTCTTTCATCACATTGATTAGGTACCTTCTGTGTGCCCAGTCCTACCTGGGTGCTAAGTCCACCGCAGTGAATCCTGCAGGCCCCTTGCAGCATTCGTGGATGTTTGTTTCACTGGTACTTGAGCCGCTCTCCGTGGTTAGCCAGTTCTATCCGCTGGGGTAGCTGAGGCCTTCTTTGCAAAATGAACAAGTGAGAAGATAAGGCCTAAACCCCTTTGCAGTGGCAGTTTTACTTTGAGGTGTTGGTCCAGCTGCTCTCCTCTCTTGAGTGGTAGCAGCTGGCGCTGGCATCAAGGTTATAGTTTGACACACGGCGCTTTCCTTGCAGGTGCATGCTCCGGGTGCTCGATTCCTTTGGGACGGAACCTGAGTTCAACCATGCAAGCTATGCCCAGTCGAAAGGCCACAAGACCCCCTGGGGAAAATGGAATCTGAACCCGCAGCAGTTTTACACCATGTTCCGTGAGTATTTGTGTGGTCTCTGTCTTTCAGGAAGCGACTGAAAACAGCTACGAAGGTTAACTAGGCAGCCATCCATCTGGGGTCGTGATTCGTAGGCCCCTTAGCTGAAAAAGTTGGACTTTTTTCTTGGGAATAATTGGATCTTTCTTTTCTGTAATTGGCATTGAAAGCACACCTGAGCACTGTGCAAAGAGCCTTAGAAATGTCCTAGAGAGGAATGTGCAATACAAATGACCCGTAGAAGCCACGTGGGAGAAGCCTGCAGAGCACCTCCAAATGAGCAGGCACTGAGCATGTCCCAGCACCATACCCATGCTGCTAAGGGGCTGCTGCATTCTTAAGAGGAGTGAAGCCTGCCATGGCAGCCCCCTAGTTCAATCTTCATTATTTGAGCATGAGACCTTTAAAAGGAAAAATAATCTCAAAACTGAGGAGATGGCTCCGTGGGTAAAGCCCTTGCCGTGTAAGCTTGAGGACCAGAGTTCTGACCTCCAGAGCATCTGTAAATGCCAGCTAAGAGTGGTGGCTTGCCTCGACTCCCAGCCCTTGGTGAGTGGAGACGGGGTTCCCAGAGCAAGCCAGCTAGCTACCGTAACCAAGTCACTGAGCTTTGGAGTAGACATATCAGAGAGACTGCCTCAGTATGGGACGTAGAGAACAACTCAAGGAGAGACCTCACATAAACCTCTTACCTCCACATGGACAGCATACATGCATGCATACATACATACATACACATATACACATAATTGCCCAGAGATGATCCCTTGCTTGGTCCCCAGATGTTTCAGTGAACGCATTAGACTAATAAATAACCCTTGGGCATCATGTCTGGGAAAAACAGGATTAGAAATAGTGAAGTAGCAGTTTTAAAACTCAAGCCATGTTATGGACTGAGAAGATAGCTCAGTTGCTAGAGTGCTCATGAAGACCTGAGTTGGATCCCTAGGGTCCATGGGGAAAACCAGATGTGCACTTGTAATCCCAGAGTGGGGGAAGAGGAGATAGATGAACCTGGAAGAACATTGGGCGTCATCCTTGCTTACTGGGTCTCAAAAAACAAAAGTGCAGGGTGCCTGAGGAATGATGTCAGAGATTGTCCCCTGACCTCTACATGTATGCATGTGTGTGTGCGCGCATGCACACACACACCACAAACAGAGAGACACAAATACGCATTCATGCTCACACACACATGCAGAGAGAGAGAGAGAGAAAGAGAGAAAGAGAGAGGGGGGAGGGAGAATTACCTGTTCAAATGTTCTTTGAGCCCAGAGGGTTTGGTGAGAGCATGCTGTGTGTATGATAGACATTATTATTATTGGAGTTATATCGTCCTGTTATTGCCACCTGTCCCAGGGGCACAGTTCAGGGAACAAACTAATATTTGGCACACCAGGTAACAGATGGCTGTCAGCATGGCAGGGCACGATTGGAATCTGCCCTGAGAAGATTGTTGTTGGCCTGAGAAGAACTGCCGGCCAACAAACTGAGCTGTGACCTGTGTTAGGACAAGAGGTAAACTTGTGCTTTCGTGTACGCTCATGGCACAGTCATGCCAGCAGGAGCTTGTGTCCCTCCCTGGGGAGGAGATGCTGTGCTCTCCTGTAGAAGACTGGGATTCAGCACCCTGCAAGCCTGCTTCAGTTCGGCCAGTGGAGGCTTTCAGAAGTAGAAGTCCCTTCCAGTGAAAGACGTTCTCTGTTTAAAATGTAATGAGAGCCAGACACAGAAAGTGCTTTCTCTTCACCTGGGAGAGGGATACGGTTCCTGGATTCAGCAGAAAGCAGAGGGAAAGTTGACACGGTTGAATGCCTTTTAAGAAAAGAACCCACAGAGCAAAACATTATCAACCACCCACGACACTGGAAGCAAACAGTGTAGCAGGAAATGTTTACATGGTTATTTGAGACGGTTAGAGGAACGTGGAGGAGCCAAGATATCTGTACACAAGAAAGGCATATTTACAGCATTGATGTGAAGACCTAGGTGAGCTTCAGTTTGGAAAGGATATTAGTGAATGCATACAAAGGAAACACTGGGCTGGGAGATGACTCTGTTGGTAAAATATTTGCCATACAAATCTGAGGACTGGAGTTTGATCCCCATAACACAAGTAAAAAGCTGGGCATGTTGGCAAAGGGCTGTAATCCCAGTGCTCGGGAGGCAGAGAAAAGTGCATCCTTGGGGCTTGCTGGCCAGCCAGATTAGCTACCTCAGCTTCAGGTCAGTGAAGACACCCTGTCTCCAGAAAACAAGGTGGATGGTACCTGAGGAGAGGCATTGCATGTCCTCTCCTGACTTCCATACACACACACACACACACACACACACACACACACACACACACACATATACAAAACCACCGCCACACATATACCACACAGCCCACCACACACAAATTAAATGTTTCAATTCTGTACTTTGAAAAAAGTTCAGCCGGCCTGATGGGGGTCATGAGTATACAAGCCTTTCAAACCATCTTTTTTCCATTCAACAGATCCTCCTCCTAGGATAAGTCAGATTGCAGATGTGAGGTAGAGAAGGTGAGGGAGACAGGAAGGACGGGGGGTAGGGGTGGGAATAGGAGTTAATAAGATCCCCAAACAGGCGGCAATGAATTAAAACCAAACAAATGAAAGGTAGTCAGTAGGGCTGGGGGTGCAGCTTAGTCAGTGGATGCTTGGCTCGCACGCACAGTTCTCTGACTTCCATCCCGTGTACCACATAAGCTGGGCATGGTGGTGCACACCTGTAATCCCTGCCCTCAGGAGGTGTGAGCATAAGGATGACCTGGTCAGAATCATTCGGCTGCACAGGAAGCTCAAGGCTAGCATGAGATACATCAGACCCTGCCTTTAAAAAAAGAGGCAGTTGATGAGCCCAGATATGATGATATGCCAAACAGGAAGATGTAGTGGGTCACCTTTGCAAGTTGCTAGGATACCAACTCGTTCCTCTGAATAATGAAGGGGGAAGAGCCCGGCTTTGATCTTCCTGCCTTACTAGCGCAAATTATATTCGAAGATAATCAAATGGTTGATGATAAGAAACTGTTGATAATAGGGAAAGCAGAGCTGCAGATGCAGGCAGAATGATGGATCAGGGAGTGAGCATCTTCAAACCCCTGATAAGATTGCAGGTCCCGCGAACATCAGCCACTGCTAACACAGGTCAGGTAGAAGGTGATGGAGAACTCTCCTCAGCCAGCGCTCTCTTCAGCACAAGAAATATGGAAGGAAGTTGGGAAATGAGGCCTTATGAGACATTCATCATGTCGAGACAAGCTGAGGCTGGGGACTTCACAATAGACAACAGACCGTGCCTTTGGTGACCTTCAATACCCTTGTCAAGAGCTTCCCTCCCTCCCCATGTGACAAGACCAGAGTGCTGGGTACCTGTGTCTGTTCTGGCGATCTATGGCGATTCTTTGAACAAGAAGAAAAGGGTCAAGATGTGGTTTTTTTTTTTTTTTTAATTTTTTAAAAACAGCCCCATGTATTCCAGGCTAGCCTTGAACTCACTGTGTAGCCAAGGATGACCTTGAACTCCTGATCCCCCATTTCCACCTTAGGGCTCCAGGTGTTCCAGGCATGAGCCACCACCCCCAGTTCATACAGTGCAGGGGATGAAACTCAAGGCTTCATGCAGATGAGGCCAGTATTCCACCCACAGAGCTCTAGCCCCATTCCTCCCTTTTAATTTTTTTGTATTTTTTCCTAGAACCAAGGACCAAACCCAGGGTCATGTGCTTGCTAGGCAAGCACTCTACCTCTGAGCTAAATCCTACACCATCCCATTTTGGTCAGTTTTAATGTGACAAATTTATTAATGCCTCATTTAAACAGTATTTAGTAACATAAATATGCACCAATGTTGAGAATGTACCAAGGCTCTTGTGCACTGAGATTGTTTTATACAGCTGACCACAACAGCAACAACAAAAAAAGAGACCGCAGAAGTAGAATTAAACTTGGAGACATAGAATCAAGACTTTAAGGCCAACTGTCTTGGGAGATGCAGTGTTTGGGTATGAATGCAATACAGAGAGTCCAGCTTGGGAGGAGAGACACGTACGTGTGGGAACGCTGTCTTTAGGAGATATGAAACGAAGTAGGCCAGGCCAGCAGAGTCTTTACTTACTTATTGAATATTCAGGGCACACCGCTTATTGACAAATTCTGCTATACCTAACCTAGCTTATTCAGATGGTGAAGTTTCTACACGTCTAAAAGCCTCACGGTTCCTTGTTCTGCTCCAAATTGCAGGCTTGCCCTGTGGGATTACGTCCTTGTGTAGTCTGCTTGTAGCTGGGCATTTGGGGGTCTACAGTTACGTCCTATGCCTGGTTCCCTGAAGTGATTGCCGGGGTGAACAGGTGGCCTGACTGGAAAACACTGAGGCTCCTGGGTTGAATCTATGGGTGGTGTCTGTGTGGATGTGTGTGTCTGTGACAGCGTGCCTGCATATGTAGAGGCCAGGACGTGACGTGGGATGTCTTTCTCAATCATTTCTTTTTTTTTTTTAACTTTTGGTACTCACTAGTTTGGCTACACTGGCTGGCCAACAAGCCCCAGGGACCCACCTGTCTCCGCCTCCCCAGTTCTGGAATTACAAGGGTGTGCAACCACACCTGGCCTCTTCTCCCACCCGATGGATGCTGGGAATTGAACTCAGGTTCCTGTGCTTTTCCAACAAGTGTTCTCCTCACTTGGCTCTTTCTCCAGCCCTAGGTGATAGCTTGTTCAAAGAAGCTGATGAGTGCGTCCTTCCTCCTGTCCACAGATTTCCCCTCAGATGCCTGTCTTCCTACTTGTTGGTTTCCAAGCTAGACTCTAAAGCCTTCCTGCTGTCTCCAGAACCAGCTGTTCTTCCCCGCAGAGCCTGGGGTGTGGGCTCACATCCTGACTTTGTAGTGAAATATTCCCAGCCTTGGGCTCAGTGGCCACCCCTCACCTCCCCAGGTTAGAGCCATTTCCTAGGCCGGGTCCCGGACAGTT